ATGTGGGGTGCAAACCCCCCGCAGTCCCCAGGGACATCGGTCATGGGTGCCCCGGGGGAAAGCACCTGCCCCCATTTCCTCACACAGTGGTGACCCGAGAGGGCATTTCTCGATGGGGTGTCCCTACTTCCTCCTCGAGGGGACCCCCAGGGCCATCCTGGTGTCACCCAGCCCTTCCAGAGTCAGGAGGGGAAATGGGGTACTGCTTGTTCCCCTAGCTGGATCAGCTGCAGGGTACCCGTGGGTGGGGGATACCCAGCCCTGGAGGAACTAATATTTTGGAGCAGGGAGGCAGAGGCAGCAGCCAAAAACAGACTGAGGGGAAGCGCTGGTGTCCGGCTCTGCCCCATGCCTGCGGTGGCCGCGCTCGGGGGGACCTTTCACTGGTGGCACTGTCAATGTCCCCAGCCACAGTCCTCCAGGATGCCGGGGCATCACCACCCCGGCATCACCACCCCAGCATCACTGCAGGAGGCTGGCAGAGCCAGGGAGCTGGCAGAGCCAGGGAGGGATTTTACCAGGCAGGAGCAGCAGCCCAGCTGCAGTGGGGAATCCCCGCCAGGCAGAAAGGGAAGGTTGGTCCCAGGCAGGATTTGGGTTCAAATGGGGCCAGCTCAGGGCTGAGGACCCAGCACTGTGGGGTATCAGCACCCCCAAGCAGCCCTGGCATTGCCAAGCCCTGGAGGGGCTCAGGGGCTTGGAAATGGGCCAGAGGGGTGAAACGGGAGTGAAACAAGAGTCCGAATCCATACTGGGAGAAGGCTGAAACCAAATGGTCTTTGGGGAGGCAGGGACAGAGCAGGGAGGTTGGTGTCCTACATGCGAGGAGACAAGAAGAGTGATTGTCACCTGTGATTTCCTCATTGCGGCTAAGCACAGAGGACATGGGGACACCCAGCAGCACCCAGCTGAGCAACAGGAAAACCAAAGACGTGAAATATTTCCAAAGCTGCCTGCAAAGGGTGACATGTCTTTCCGTCCAGGGGGTGAAACCTCTCACATGGGGACAGAACCGGATGGGAAAGAAGAGCATGAAACCGCCTTCAGATCTTCTCAAGTCCCCGCCTGTCCTGGGCACCGTGACCGCAACCTTGCTGCTGGCTGGGGTGGCAGGAAGGGCAGTGCCAGCAGCGATGCTCGAGGGGATGGGGAAGCCAGAGGGATCCAGAGATGTTCAAAGGACTTTGGAGGTGCCCGAGTGGCCCTGAGATGCCTAAAGAGTTCAGAGGCTTTTGAAGGACTCATGCAAACCAGGGGGACCCAAGTATGCTGGAGGGGCCAGGTGTCTCCTGGAGGGACATGATGCTGTGTTGATGGGGGAGCCCCCCAACTCAAGAAGAGGTGGCTGGTCCATGGGGAACCCTGTCCTCCATGGGGGACAGGGAAGGGACAGGGTTGGGATGAAGTGGAGCAGACTGAGGGGTGCTGGGGGTGTTGCACCAGAGGAGGTTTGAGGGACAGTGTCCACCTGCAGCACTGTCCATTGCCTGGCACAGCATGGACATGTGGCACGGTGGAGTGATGGAGGGGGGCTGCCCACTGGCTGGGAGTGGACGTGGGGGGCAATGGAGATGGGGGACCCAGAGACACTGTCATGCCTGGCCCACACCCCCCTCCCACCCCACACTCATGCTGCTTTGTGCTCCACAGGCAAAATGGAGTCCTTCTCCTTCAACGGGGATTTGTCCAATCTCTTCTCTCTCTACAACTACACCTATGACTACAGCACAGCCATGCCAGACACCGCTATCTCCTCTGCCCCATGTCGGCCCGATGGCTCTGTCCTTAACAAGTACCTGGTGGTGGTGATCTACTGCCTCGTCTTCATCCTCAGTGTGGTGGGGAATGGGCTGGTGGTCCTGGTGGTGACCTCCAGCCACGCCAACCGCTCTGTCACCGACGTCTACCTACTCAACCTGGCCGTGGCGGACCTGCTCTTTGCCCTCAGCCTGCCACTCTGGGCCGCCTACCGAGCCCATGAGTGGGTCTTTGGCACTGTGATGTGCAAAGCCATCTCTGTGCTGCAGGAAGCCAACTTCTACAGCGGCATCCTGCTGCTGGCCTGCATCAGCGTGGACCGCTACCTGGCCATCGTGTACGCCACCCGGGCTGCCACTGAGAAGAGGCACTGGGTGAAGTTTGTCTGCTTGGGCATCTGGATCTTCTCCGTGCTGCTCTCCCTGCCTGTGCTGCTCTTCCGCGAGGCTTTTCCCTCACCCAGCAATGGCACCGTGTGCTACGAGCGCATTGGCGGTGAGGACACAGCCAAGTGGCGGGTGGTGCTGCGGATCCTGCCGCAGACATTTGGCTTCGCCCTGCCCCTCCTGGTGATGCTCTTCTGCTATGGCGTCACCATCCACACCCTCCTGCAGACCAAGAACACCCAGAAGCAGCGAGCCATGAAGGTCATCTTTGCCGTGGTGCTGGTCTTCCTCATCTGCTGGCTGCCCTATAACATCACGTTGGTGAACGACACCCTTATGAGGATGCGGGTCATTGCTGAGACCTGTGAGAGGAGGAACCGCATCGACACGGCCCTCTCGGTCACACAAGTCCTGGGCTTCGCCCACAGCTGCATCAACCCCATCATTTACGCCTTCATCGGGCAGAAGTTTCGCAACAGCTTCCTCAAGATCCTGGCGCAGCACGGGCTCATCAGCAAAGATGCTGTGGCCCGCTACGGCCGCACCTCTTATGTCTCCACCTCTGGCAACACCTCCACCACTCTCTGAGCCCTCTCAGGACCCTGCCCTCACGGCTCCCAGCAGGCCCTGGTATCCCACGCACCCCAGCATCCTCGCCCATCCTCCTGGGATGTGGGTGGCGATGCCACGGGGATGGGCACGGCCACCACTGGATGCTGGATCCCGTCTGGAAGGGGGCTTTGGCAGTGAGGGGGTAGGACCCCATTGCCAGGGGAGCAATGCCAAGCTCCAGCCACCATCCCCGCTCTTTGGGGTAGAGCCTGTGACTTCAGGGACCCCACAACCCCACTGTGGGGATGGCATTCGTGGCCGACGGTCATCCAGCAATAAAGGACTTGGTGGGTTGGTCACCCAGGTCTGGCTTCTCTTTGCCACAGGGAGGGCAATGGTGGGACGGGCCAGGGCACATCACTGAGCACAGTGGGTCCTGGGCTCCCCACCTCGGTGCCAAAGCAGCAGTGTCAGCTGAGCCTGGTGGGGTGTGGGTAACCCCGGCTCCAGGCCAGGGAAGTGCTATTGCCCAAGAGGCTGTTGCAGAGGGTTCAGCATCCTGTGCGTCCCCAGAAGGGACCCAAACATGGGTCTTGCTCCCCACAGCCACCCAGCAAGGTCCTGGCACTTCCCCAGAGCAGGGATCTCTGTGAGGTGTCTGTCCCACCTGAGAACAAAGCTACCCCTTCCCAACCACGATCCAAGCCCCAATGGAGCAAATCACTGCAGCCCTTCGCTGACCCTGTGACCCCTGTCCAAAGGGTGCCAGCACTCAGGCCACCCCCTGCCCCCCTGGCGCTGCGGTGCCAGGACATTGTTGTGCAAAGGGCTGGGAACCTGTCCCTTACACAACCAGGACATTTCCGCCCCGGCTTGGGCAACCGAGGCTAATACGAGAGTGGAGCAGAGGAGCTGAAGAGGGGGCTGTGACCCTGCTGGAGTCCCCCCCACCACCCTGTGTGCCAGGTATCAGGGTGCCCATCCCAGCACGTCCATGCATCTCTCCATGGGGGTCCCATACTACTCCATCCCTCCTGCTCCAGGCTCCCGGGGGTCCTTAACTGCGGGGGGCATCAGTGGGTGCCAGCCATGGGCTGGCTCATGGGTGGGTACGGGCTCCCCTGGCACCCATGTAGGGAGCCCTGGGGACTTGGGGCTGGGCAAGGTCAGCAGGGGTGCTGGGCAGGGACAGCTCGTCACCTTTGCATCTGGGAAACCTCTTGCCCAAGCGGTTGCTCGCAACCTGGCAGGAAGCCGGGGCTGTTGGCCAAGAGCCGTATCCCCTGCCCACTGCTGCCTCCCTGCTGCCGGACAGGGCAGATGGTGGCTCAGCCTGGCTGCAGCTGGGACACCCCTTAGGGGACAGTTCCCCCCAGAAAGGCTCGGACACTCCCATAGTGGTATCCCCCCACCCCGCACCCAGCCTGGGGGTCAGTTCGGCGACAACCGATAAGATGACACGGGAGCCACAGGGGTAGCAGGAGCAGGTTGTTTTCCTCTCTGTGGACCAGCCACATGAAAAACGTCTCAAACCCAAAATGTTGGGCAGCAGGACCTGCCTGCAGGCCCCAGATGTCTGGGTTCTGGGTAAGTCTGAGAGGAGGCAGCCAGGGCAGGGGATGTCCCAGGCACGGTTCATGGGCTGCGGTCCCAGCTCACGTAGCCTGCGGGTGCCTTTGCTGGTAGCAAAGCAGGCAGCAGCGCCCCTGCTTGCCGGTGTCCACGGAGCACGCATGGCACACCTTGCACTGGCACAGCCTGCCGAGAAAGTGGATGGGGAGAGCCGTGCCATCCTGGTGCCATGTCGGTGCCACCCCCAGTGCCCCCCATGGCGCACCTGCAGTCATACCGCCGGGAGAGGCGGCGGAAATCCTTGCGGCAGCGGGCACACAGCCCTGCATCGCGGGGTGATGGGCTGGGCATCGGGGTGTCGATGCCCTCTGTCTTCTGCCACAGGGCATCCTTCTCCCTGTGGGAGGGGACAGGTCAGCCCCAGCAGGAACATGCCTGGTGGTGGAGGTCTGGGAGCATGCCCTGGCACCCCACACCCCAGGTGGGCACCCCTGGGTCTCCCGAGGTGGGGATTTGACTGGGCTCTGGTGCCCTCCTCTGGGTGAAAGGGTTTGGGGCCTCCCGCCCATGCGTGACCCCACACCAGTGGTGTCCCCAGGGTTCTCACCGCAGCAGCTCCAGCAGCCGCCCCTTCATGTCGCGGATGAGCTCCTGCTGTCGTGCCTGCTCGGCGCCACGTGTGGCCTCTCGCTCCAGGGCCTCCCGCTGTGCCCGCTGCAGTGCCGATGCCCAGCGCTCGCCGTCCTGCCGGGCCCTGGCACAGGGCAGTGGGGAGATGGTCCCCCTGTCCCTCAGGGAGCTGTCTCTCCATCCATTCGTGCATCCATGTATCCATCCATCCCTCTATCCGTCTCTCCATCCATCCATGCATCCATCCATCCCTCTATCCGCTGCCCATCCATTGCCAAGCCCAGCCCGCTCCTCATCCCCACAGCCACCTCACCATCTGCCAGGCTGGCTACCCATCTGTTTCCCAGCTGCTCATCCATCCTTCCCCACACCCACCCCTCTATACCCCTGTCCCCCTGTCCGTCCATCCATCCATCCATCCATCCATCCATCCATCCATCCATCTACTCACCCCAGATTCATCGCTTCATCCTTCCATCCCCCCATCCATTTGTCCCAAATTCATCCCTCCATCCCTCTGTGTGCCCACCCATCAACATATTCACCCCAAATTCACCCCTTCACATCCCCCTCCATCCTTCCATCCATCTACTCACCCCAAATTCATTCTTCCACCCCTCTGCTCACCCACCCATCCGCTCACACACCCCCAAGTTGATGCCTTCCTCTCACCATCCCTCCCTCTCCAAATCCTTCTCTCTCTGCCCCTGCCCATCCCCATGTGCCCACCCATCAACATATTCACCCCAAATTCACCCCTTCACATCCCCCTCCATCCTTCCATCCATCTACTCACCCCAAATTCATTCTTCCACCCCTCTGCTCACCCACCCATCCGCTCACACACCCCCAAGTTGATGCCTTCCTCTCACCATCCCTCCCTCTCCAAATCCTTCTCTCTCTGCCCCTGCCCATCCCCAGGTGCTGCT